CAGGGTAAATAAAAAGGTGTGTCTGGCCAGCTGCTGACCTGTTTGCCCGTTGATGGTGTTTCCAACGATCAATTTGCCTGTGAAGCAAACTGGAGGAAATGGGGCTTGAGTATTTTTCCTTCATCAGAACACCTGCTGACATAGTTTAAATGTAAGGAAGAGATACCTGTTCATCTGCTGTTTATATCCTCACAGCACAACTGAATTAAGAAGGAGCTAAAGTAGAAGCTGTCAGTATGTAGAAAAATTATTCATTTAGCTTCCACAATTTCATTATAATAAAATGTAAATACATCTGGAAGATTTACTGTGAACTTTAACCTCTCTCTTTCTAGCAGAGATACCTGCAGCATGCAATCAGTTACAATCTTCAGTTAACAATTACTTTTTAGATTTAGGTCATTAATACAAAAAACATTATCAGTAGACGAGACTTAGATTTAGAGACTTTATTTGCCATTTCTGACACAGATTACAGTTCAGTTTTTTCAGTTGATCATGTAAATAGTCTTGTTTGTACAGTAGCAGTGGCATGAAAATAAATATACATAAAAAATACAAAACAGAAACTTAACGCTTCCAAATATGGAAGAAAATGATCTAGAGCTGTGTGCTGCCTTGTTTTTTAGTATGATTATTTTCAGCAGGCTTTAAAATTCTTTTCCGGGGATGCAGAAACCTGAAATATGGAGATTTAAAAATGGAGTAAAGATATCATGAGTAATCCGTGCTCAGGTGACAAGCCTCTCTTAATAATGACTATCAGAGCATAAAGTTGCCTTACACTTTTGATAAAAAGAGATAAAATATTTAATTATTCTTTCCGTGTTAACAATATTTTATTGCACTTTCCAGAACCGTCTTACGCAGGAGGCCCGAGGCTCAACAACGCCAGTGCCTACTCCACCCAGCGGGTTCCTCACCGAGTTCATTAAGCTTTTTTCTTTTAAAGATATCTTTCTAGAAAAAGGGACCAACAGGTTTAGGGGGAAGAGATATGTAGATACATTATACACGGATCAGGCCGCCTTGGACAGGCACAAGACATTCACAGTTCTTCTCTACATGATGCATAAATACACAGACATTTGTGATCATAGACTCTACAGTTTGTCTGGAGTGTTTGCGATAAAACAGCAATCACTTTTAAGTTAAAGTAAGATTGATATACAGTATCCATGTGCTATCATTGATGTGGGGCTGTTATTGCTGGTTGAACTCTTCCTTAGTCCTTTGTAAAGTTTGCAAACAGCAGATATAAACTAATGTAGTCGCTAGATGAAGATGACAAGGAAGTGAAAACCCAAAAATAAATTATATTGCTTTGGATGAGATAAATCTACTTGGATATTTTGATACACTAATCGACATTTAGAAATTATTCATAATCTAGTAAACAGTGAATGTTTGTGGTTAATAAAATATATGTAACTTCTTTTCTTTTTCTACACAGTACAATAAAAGTTCAGTTCATGAGGACAAACGGGTCAAAAATAAAGTCTTAATGAGTCTGTTTGGTCCAAGAAGTACTAGCGGGTGCGTAATATCGTGATACTGTCGTTTCTTTTTTGTTCAGAGCAGAGATATGAAGCTAAATAAGAGATATACAGCTGTCTAATCCAAAGTTTCTGATGCTTCAAGCAAAGTAAGCTTCACTTTTCTTGACCCTTGTTTCCTCGAGTGCAATTGAGCATTCACATGAAGACAAAACATAGTGTGAACATTAAGAAAAACGCAGAGATTGGACATATGTAGAAATGAAATGAAGGCATCACCTTTAAACGGCTAGCGTTCTCGTCAAAAGTCCAAACAAAAGAAACTGCCTCGATGTTTTTGTTTTTTTCGATAAAGCTGGCTCTGCTGTTGTCGTCCGAACTGCCTTTTGAACTTCAGGCACTTCTCTTCATGTCACTTCACCGGAGCCATCAGAGATGTTTTAGGGCCACGACGTGCATCCATACATGGCACATATGTATTGCAGTTTGATGCCCTACAGACAGGCAGAAGTCTGTAGGGCCGGCTGTGTTGTAACATGAGAGTCCTCCATCTGTACACTGGTCATGCACAAGCTAACTCAAGATCTGACCCTCATCCCTCAGTGTTCTTGTCAGTTAGATCCTCTTATAACGTCCTCCTAGACAAGCCGCTCCAGTTTGGTCCATGTGTCAAAGCAACACAGTCTGGAGCTTTTGTCCTGCTTCCTGCTCATTCTCAGGACAGACAGGAAGAAATGTTGGTGATCACATGAAGGAGTGTTCGGCTGGAGGCCCGTAAGAGAAGCCGGGAAAGGCTCCGGCTGCTTCCTTGACGCTGCTGGTCACAGTCAGCGTGTCTGTGCAAAGAGAGGAGGACACTGGCAGGTGGGTGAACTCGGGGTCAAAGTGTCGCAGGTCCGTGGGACCAGACTGTAACACAAAGATGGGGAAGACGTTAGAAAAATTGCATGTATAATAATGAATTTGCCACTGATATCAGGGTGTTTCATAGCATAAGCACAAAGTCCACATTCACTAGATGTATGAGTTTCCTTCTATTTCTGACTATTCCATTAACAAAAAGGCTTTGGATTTCCAGCAGATGTCAATAAAGCAGATGCAGTAATATTGTAAATATTGTTTAACTGTTCTTTTTAATGCTTTTGTACAGTTATGGTTAAAGCCTCTCATGCACTTCCAATTAATATTGCATTAATGTAGTTCGCTATAATCGTGAAGTGAAACATGAAAGTGATACTGTGATAGCCTTGTTCTGGGATAACACATCGTTCTGATTAAATTATAATGAGTAATACATACCACTGATGGAACAAATGGAGGTGTGATCTTCTTGGCCATCAGGTCCTCCCAGTTGATTGGAGAGAAGAACGAATGGTGCTTCAGTTCAAGCTGAAGGAAAAAAGAGAAACTGGATGAGCACAGTGATGGAAAACAAGGGTCACAATCTGTTACAGTCCTGTATGTTAGCCATTCCCAAACTTGAGAGGTCTGTGGCACATTTCAATATGTGAAAATTCTTTTTGGACCACCCAAAACTTTAATAACAGCTTCGATCATCACGCAAGCCTAAGATCAAGTATTTCCTTGTTTTGTGCTTGATTTTGGACGAGTTCGGGTTTAAAAGTAGGTCAGAAAATTAGGAATGATTTTGTAATTATTTTAATTCCAACCTTTTGTTTGACTTGTTCTATTTCTTTCAAAAATGCAAACCCTTAACTGCAACTTTATACTAAATTATACTGTTGAAGATTAATGTTTTTAATTTACAGCAGGTGACTTCTTGCAGCCCAGTTGCAGTACTTGCAAAAGCCACTAGGGGACTGCAGCCCACAGTCTGGGAATCAGGGCTCTATGTGATGTGTGCACTTACAAAGTCATCCTTTCCTCCCAGCCTCTTGGTGCGGTCCTTCTGCAAAAGCCCCTCGAGCAGGTCCCTGCCTGCATTCGACACGTTGGGCTTGAGCACCGGAGCCTTGTGCAGGATGTTACTGTACATCTCAGCTGTGTTGCGACTGTAGAATGGAGGCTGTTTCAAAAAAAAAAGAAAGGAGTTGTGTTAATCTTGTATAAACAATCAGGAGATTTAAAAAGGCATAAAGTCACCGGTTTCCACTTACAAGTCCATAGAGCATTTCATAGAGCACCGATCCCAGACACCACCAGTCGACAGTGCGGTCATACGCCTGCTTCTGGAGAACCTCAGGAGCCAAATACTGAGAGAAAAAAGAGAGACAAAACATGAATGCAAGTCCAAAATTATTCCTCAGAAGTCGTACTGAGGTCATACTGATGATGAACAAATGTCTAAAGATGTATCTTTTACCTCAGGCGTCCCACAGAAGGTTGTCGTGGTACCGTTGGGCTCAAGGCCTTCTTTGCAGAGGCCAAAGTCTGTTAGGACAATGTGGCCCTGTGAGTCTAGCAGGATGTTCTCTGGCTTCAGGTCCCTGTCAAAAACAAGACAAAGAAATGTTTACTCTAAATGCATCAGGGCTCAGGTTTACAGATGTCCACTAGGGGGAGCTGTGGCATCACTCTTTACCTGTACACTATGTGCAGAGAGTGGAGGTAGCCAAGTGCACTTGCAATTTCAGCAGCGTAGAACCTGGCTCTGGGCTCCAGGAAGATTCTCTCTCTCTGGAGATGGTAGAACAGCTGGAGTAGAAAAAAGCAAACATCTGTCAGCATCTGTTTCAAACAAGGTTATATATTCTGTCCTCATTCTGCCGGACTGTGGCTTACCTCTCCACCGTTGACGTAATCCAGCACAAAGTACAGCTTGTCAGTAGTCTGGAAGGAGTAGTGCAGCCCCACCAGGAAGGGATGCTTGATGTTCTTCATCAGCACACTGCGCTCAGCCATGATATGCTTTTGCTGGAGGAGAGAAGATGGATTATAACATGTCGTTTTTATTGCATTTCACATTACCAGCCGAGAGAAAATAGATTTAATAAATAAGTTCAAGATGCCCTTGGGGGTCCTACCTCTTTCTTCTTCAGGATGATTTTCTTCTGTAACACTTTGACAGCGTAGTACTTGGTGGTCTCCTTGTGCCGAGCCAGTAAAACCTGTTTGCCATCAAACATTTGCATTAGTAATGTAGTTGCAGAGATGACCTATATGTGTGGAGGAGAGCAGTTACATAAAAGGCTGCACGCAAGGACAGACTCACCTTTCCAAAGCTGCCTTTTCCAATGATTTTAAGGTAGTCAAAATCACAGGGTTTGATCCTAAAGAAGAGAAAAAGATAGAAAATTTCATTTATAATTTGTTCTCATTTATGTTTGTCAAAATTGTGGCATAGAGATTTTTTTGAAGTATACTTACTGAGTGTCCTCAGCCAGTGAACTTTGAGAATTTAGGCACATCTGAAAGATACAACACGGGGAAGATCACAACAGTGCCACATTTTACAGATGAAATGAGTCAGACTGTGATGAAAGTAAATAGTTTCTGCTTACATCACTATCAGGAAGTTCATTTTCGACCTCCTCGTTCTGATTCTCATCAATCTTCAGGAAGTTGTTAACTTCGACACTGAAAACAGAGAGACAAAGACTCATTCATACGGAGGATTTTGACTTCACCTGTTTTTTATTCAGCACAGATGATTGGATTTGAGATTTGTTAAGAGGTTTCTGAAACTGAGAAGCTGAATGGATGTCCTCTGCGTGGGTGCGACTCCAATGACTGTCTGAAACTTCCAGACAGGTCAAGTTCACCAAGGCTTGTCAAAGCTCAACCTGTCTGAGAAAACCTTAAGCTGCTGATCCGCAAAGACAGGGTTCAGCCTGCTCTGCGGGACTCAGGGGTCCAGCTCAGATGCCCTCCTGGAGCATCTGGAGAGGTCAGATGCAACACCTGGGTTTTTTTTGTCTTTTTCCCACCCCACCTCACTCTGACCTGTGTAACGGGCCAAGCCATGTATCATGTAATAATTGAATTACAGGTTTATCCTTGTCAAGGGAACACAGGGGATTTGCTTGAGAGGTGATTACGCAGTGGTGAGATTGTTAGCAAGCCTGTCATGAAAGAACTATACTTAACCTGGCTTCTTGGACCCAGATTATGCATTTAACAGAATGTCCTGCTAAACCCAGGTGGTTGATTGGATTGGTCGGGACCTGTGCGTACTAATCATGAATGGGACAGCAGTCAGAAATAAACACTAGAAGTTGAAATCCAGGAAGTAACTGGAGCCAAGAGAGATGTTCTTTGTGCCCTCACTTAAAGGTCAATTTTCAAAACCAAAATCTTACACTTCCAACCATCTCTATTTGTTTATTTTATTTTAAAATATGAATACTCACTGTTGGCAGATATGTGGAGTAGACACCAGCTTCTGGATGAAGTCATTCAGACCCATTTTTCTCTCCTTGATGAAAGCTGCAGAAAAAGAGGGAACCCCTTTATGTTAGTATGATCCAATCGTGAAT